AACACTGGCAGTGTGGCAAGTGGTAAGATCTTTTTCTTTTGTGAGCTTCTGTTTCGTCGTCTCCAGGGAAACAGAAGTTCACGAAAGAAACGCCATGGAGATCTGACCTGGGTGACGGCGCATGTGCCAGCAGAGAGGGCACACATGCCATAGGTTCGCCATCACCGCACTAACCCGTTGATGTATAATGTGCACATAGCTGGAATTTTTTTTCTCTTTTCCTTTAGCACTGAAGCCCCCATATAAGCAATTTCCCACTTCTACATTATAATGTGTATAAATCCCTTGTAGTATATGAATAAAAATACTGGATACATTTTATAGCTTGCTCTTCTAATCGTGTGAATGTAATTATTTCCTTTGCCAAACTCTCTAGAGAGAAGAAATTGCAGCACCAATTAAAAAATGATTATTTGGCCCCCTGAGTAGAAAGAGGAACAAGAAAGCAAACAGAATACTCTATATCTTGCATTGGAACCCAAGGACTCAAAGACAGACAAATATAATTTCCTTGTTCACTTTCGATGCAAACTTTTGAAACGTCAAATTTTACTAATATTACTTACATTCTCCATTTTGTTATATCCAATAAAAGGCAACATTTAGGTTGTGATGAAGGGCATTGTTGGAGAATCAACAGAGTTCCCTCAAAGTGTTGGTCCTATGCCTTCATATCCCAAAGCTTATATTTGTTCCTCTGCCTTCAAATAGAAGTTAATGTTACAAACAACTAAAAATATCTTTGGGTTTTTTCCCCCTGAATGAATACTGTGCAAAATGGCTCACATTCCAACTGTTTTGATTCCAATTCAAAATGCGTCTATAGGTAGTTCTCAACTTATAACCATAATTGAGGGGAGAATCCATTGCTAAGTGATGCAGTTGCAAAGCAAAATGTCACATGCCTGCATCACTTAACAATGGCAATCCCAGTACTACCCAATACTGTATTAACCAAATTTGGCCAGTTGTTAGCTGATTAGCACCCACTTCAAGCCATTGTGGGCTTGGTCCCTGCTCTTCAAGTCCTGAGCCTCGCCAAGGAACAGGACTGCCCTCAACTTCCTATTCCTTCGCATTTGGCTGCCCTGTGCACTAGTGTGCAGGATGGTAAACAGCCTCGGAACCACAGTCCGGAGCTTCTTGACATGCCACTACTCTGGGGCTGCAGGAAGCCTCTGAGCTGCAGCACAAAGCCACAGGAGCCACCCTTGGAAACCTCCACTGGCCCAGCAGTTCTGCTTAAAAGAGCTGTAAAAAGCCTCTGAATCATACTTGCAGCATGAAGCCCTTCATAGCATAAAACTCAGCCCCAGCCTCGCTCAATAGCACAGTGCAAAGCTTCAGTCAGTGTTTGGCCTGGCCGCTCACAAGATAGCTGCTGGTCACATGAGGCCATCTAGAGAAAACGTCCAGGGAAGGAAGCCATGGGTGGCAGCAGCTGGCTCTGCAAAGGGCCAGGTTGGATATGCTTGGAGCAGCAGAAAGACAGTGAAAGCCAGCTTGGGTGGCAAGGGCTGTGGGGTTCAGGGGTCCAAAAGGGCATAGATGGGAGAAAGATAGGCAAACGATTAGAGATAGGCAAGAGGAATTGAAACACCCTTGCTGTTGTAAGTATGGAAATGCTGCCAAGTGCCCAAATTTTGATCATGTGACTGAAGGGACTGCAATGGTCCTAACTTCAGGGGGTATTCAGTGCTGCTGTAACTAAATAGTCACTGAACAAATGGTCATAACTCAACAACTATATTTTGTAATGAGCTCTTTTGGAAATGTTTCAATGCTCAAAACATTCTTCCCAGCTTGAAGTATTTCCGGGATGGTTTAAGCAGACTGTTTCAGCAGAGGTGGCTGTTTGAAATTTGAAATGAGGGGAATTTCAAGCATTTTTCATAGTGCTATAGCCACTCCCTAGCATTAGGTCCTTGTCCAAAGAAGCATGCTTATGTTTGCTCTGTAAATTATCGCTGCCTCAGAAATAGATATTTAGCTGCTCTGTATATGTGCAGTACACACCTATCCACTCTGTGGTACATTATTTCCAAAGCATTCCTAAATGCCACTTTCATCTTTTAACTGCATCGATAGCTTAATGTACTGTATATGTCTAATTCCATTGAGAAAACCTAATGGAGAAAGCTTTATACTTAGCAGCCCACGTTTGTTCTTTATGATCAGTGCTGTCATTCAACAATGTCTGACTTGTAGCTAGAGCAGTGTTTCTCAACCTTGGCAACTTGAAGAT